AGTCATTGCTCAAAAATAATGATTCTTGCCCTAGCTGGTTTGGCTCAGTGGCTAGAGCATGGGTCTGCGGACTGAAGGGTCCCGGGATGGATTCCAGTCAGGGCACATGCCCGGGTTGCAGGCTAGATGCCCAGTGTGGGGCGTGCAGGGGGCAGCCGTTCAATGATCCTCTCTCATCATTGATGTTTCTCTCTCTCTCTCCCTCTCTGAAATAAATAAATAGATAAATAAATAAAAGTGAGCGTTTATTGAGCACCTGCTGTGTGCCGGCACTTGTGCCAGGGCTTCGTCTGTGTCTGACTGAGTGTGCAAACACTCCTTGCTGGTCTCAGGCTCACTTATAGGCGAGAGGACTGAGCTTAGAGAGACGAGGTGCTTTTTCCAAGAGGCACAGGCCATAGCAAAGAGCTGGTTTGAACCCCCTTCTCTGTGGCTCCAGAGCCTTGTACGCCGTCTGCCTGTGGAGGCTGGGGAGAGCCTGCACGTCAGTATCAACTGAGTCCTGCAGGAAAGGACGCATTCGCTGAGCGAGAAGGAAGGCCCCGCTCGCAGAGGTGGCTTCCTGGACCAGGTGGGGTTTCGCTGAGCGGGATTCACCAGGGCACACAGGAGTGGGAAGGGCGCACGGGGAGGGGTTTTCTCGAGCAAATATGTGAGCAGGACTGACGCCTGCTTTTGGGGCGCAAGCGGGTTGTGGGGAAGCAGAGGGAGGAAAGGGTGTGGGGATGAAGCGTCTGTTTTGTGTGAGCTAATGGGGAGCCATGGGAGGTATGTGGGCAAGGGAGGACCGTGCGGACTCTGCATATTAGGAGTCAGCCCGAGAGTGACGTCTAGAACGACAAGAGGAGAGAGGAAAGGGAAAAGGAGGCAGGAAAGCCAGAGAGGAAGCGAATGGAACTGCCAGACCTCCTCTCATGCACAGATTTCATCGCTGGATAGAAAAGATAACAGTACACAAGCAAGCAATATAATACACACACCTCAGGGCGTGTTAGAAAGATCTAAGGTCCCTCCGTCCACAGTCAGGAGCATCTGTTTATTGCTCTGCGGGCTCCCTGCGCAGCCTTTGATGTGCCCTAATGAGGAGAGTAGCCACCACTTAACTGGACAAGCAATTAGCTCCGGGATAAATGTCACAGCAGATAAAATCCCGGAAGCGCTGGTGGGTGGTGGGCTGTGGCAGGGCCACACCATTAGTGTGTGGGGGACACTTTTAACCCACCTGCTGACCTGCTCCAACCCCGGTGGCCGCCGTCCTCCTTTCTCATCGCCCTTGGGATCCTGTCCCGGGAGAAGCTGGTGCCTGACTGCCCTCAGCTCCAGCATCAGAGGGGGGGGGGGGGGGGGGAGAGAGAGAGAGAGAAACATCAATGATGAGAGAAAATCATGGATCGGCTGCCCCCTGCACGCCCCCCACTGGGGATGGAGCCCACAACCTGGGCATGTGCCCTGACTGCGAACCGAACCGTGACCCCCTGGTTCATAGGTCGATGCTCAACCACTGAGCCACGCCGGCCGGGCTCTGTGGCTTTCTCCTGCCAGCCGGAGCGATGTTATGATAACTTCCGAAGGCTGTGTGTGGGGCCTGCGTTTGTGTTAGGGTTCTGAGCTGTGTGTCCTGGAGCTGGTTTCTCCTCTTCCACGGGCTTTGGAAAACAGACTACTCCGCAAAGGAAGGAAAGCAAAGCAGCAGAACGGGGTTTCCCAAAGCCAGGCCCAGGGCGAGGAGCCTGGGGTTCCCGGGCTCTGACCGTGGCTGCCACTCCCCCGGCTGGGGCAAGTCCCTTCCCCTCTCCAGCCACAGCGTTCTCCTCCTCCTGGGGAGCGGGCTGGGCTGACCTTCAGGCTTCTTCCAGCCCCGAAGCGCCAGCCAGGACACCCGTAGTGGACCCCCTGGCAGAGGGAGGAGAATTCGTTCTCCTTTTCTCACTTTGATGGTCTAAGTAACCGCAGGCCGTCGCCACGCCGCCTCTCCCGCGTCCTGGCTTCTCTGGGCAGCAGGAGGAAGATCTGGGCTATTTGCCGGCCGGGTGCTGACCCGAGAAGGGCAGCCAGGCCGCCGATCTGTACCTACTGGGCTGCCATGTTAGCGGTGCGTGTTCAGACCAACTTTATCACGTGGAGTGCGGGGCTGAGCTCAAAACCAAGGGCAGGGCAGAGTCAATGAAG